TGCCGCGTTGGCGCGAGACCTGCGGTGAGAAAAGCTCCCGTCCAAAGATGAAGAGGATACGGATGGATGTTCCCTGACGGCTGCGCAGCTGCAGCATGCCATGTCATGTTGTGTCTACTTTTCCACCGCGGCGAGGCTCGAGTCGATCTCGTTTTGCGGTGTCTATCTGCCACCACGGCCGGGGTATGGAATGTAAAGCTCGAAAGCAGGCTGCAAATGCCGAGCCGACCCACTGAGGACTTGCAAATTGTGCGCTACGGCAGGATGCGAGGCGTTCAAGCGAAGTGCCTCTTGCAGGGCTTGCGATGCTTGGTCTCCTGCATTGCCATATGCGTATACAACGGCCATGTTACTCCATGTGATAGCCGAGTCGGGGTCACACTGCAAACCTTGTGTCAGTGAAGCAAGCGCTTGCTCCAACTTTCCTTGCCGCGCCTGTGCCACACCCAGTGCATTCCAGGCAAAGCAACTGTAAGGCATGCGGTTCAGTCCCTCCTGAAGGTAACTCGCTCCTTGCTCATCAGAGCCCAGCTTCACCATCAAATACCCCAAATCAGTCATCCAGAGGAAATCGTTTCCGTCGTGGAGTCCGATTCCGTGCCCATTCAATATCTTTTCGAAGCTCCGGTACGCCTCAGAGAAGCGGCCCAAGTTTATCAAAATCCTTGCAATGCAGTAATCCGTGATGGCCTGATCGTCGAAGATAGACAAGGACTTTTGGTAATAGTCTAAAGCCTCCTCCAGCTGTCCTAGCGCCTGGAGCTCCGAGGCTTTGGCATGGAGCACCTTCACGCTTCTGTGCCAATGCTCGGCGTCCTTTACGAAAAGAACTGAAGGCGACTCCCAGTGCGACATGCGGATGTTCGAGTTGATGATGTAGACCGTCAGACAAGCGGCTGCCGCTGTCCAAGCAACTCCGGAAGTGGGCCGGGCCGTACAGCGGCTGCCTAGTCCACCTACGATAAGCGACCATCCAGCCGTGAGAGGGTAGAGCAATCTTTCCCCGATGGTGGTGCCAACCAGGAAGAAGAGGTTAGACATCGGGACGAAAGGCACAACGATGAGGCCGAGCCCTAGGATGATGGAGGGGCATCCACCCCGCAAGCGCATCCCGTGACAGGCTAAAGCTGCAACCGACAGGTACGCTGCTAGGACAAGTTGGAGTCGCAGGTCCAAGACGGTTGTGACCATGGGAAGAGACTCGAAGGAGTAGTCCCATGACTGGTTCCAGGGAAATACCAGCAGCTTGGCATAGTAACCATGCTGAAACAAGTAAGACAACGTGCGCACAAGCAAAGCTTGTGACTCGGTACCGTGCAGCCTTACATCTTGATACCGTATTGGGGTGTCAACGTAACCGAAGCCGGCATCCGTACCACCAACATACCAAGTTCGTAATCCTGCAACGGCAACAAAGGAGATCAAGAGGCCCAGCACATGCTTCCATCTGCAGCGTAGCGCAGCCTCCGAGCACATAATGAAGAAGAGTGCGGTGAAGCCTGGCTCTTTGCATAGTCCGGAAAGAATGTTCAAGACTACCAAGACCGTGTAGAATACTAGGGTACCAATCGGACCGACGTTCGGTTGCAAGCTTGCGCGAAGATAAAACAGAATTGCGAGCAAATAGAAGGTGGTAGACAAGGAATCCGCACGTCCCACCAAGTAAACGATATTTTCCATGTGAATCGGGTGAGCCGCAAACAATGCTGCCCCAAGCCCAGCCCATCGCAGTGGGATTCGCGCCTGAAGCAAGACTGCAAGCATCAAGGCAGCATTCAGGCTGTGAACCAGGCAGCTGAGAAGGCGCATGGGTTTCATCTCTGTCCCAGCAAAGCCGAAGTGAGAACAAAGCTGCCACTCTGCAGCATACATCAAGGTGATTAAGGGGCGCCATGACTTGTGAGTGATGTAGCCCTCTGGCGGATTGAGCGGTGTACCCCAAAAGTCATGCTTAAGCACTTCCATGACCGACGTCTCTCCTCTGGCATCTGGGTTCCGATAGATGGCAAAGCCTTCGTCCACGAACCAACTTCTGTAGCCGACACAGATATAGTAAGGAAGCGTCAGAGAGACAACGGTCACATACGCCAGGAACCGAAACCGTGAAGGCTGTGCCGATTTCACCCGGGCTGACTTTCCATTGCTTGGGCCTGTCTTGGCAAGCCTGTCACAACAGGCCAGCAGCTCACTTGCCCTCGAGCGAACGACTGCAGCATCAACCCCCGAGACATCCAGTCTCTGGACATCTGTCCGGCAGATGGTCTCTACATCTTGAAGCAGCTCGGCCACGGTTCGTGGAACTTTGCCGTTGGCCTTCTGCGCAGGGTCCGAGGCAGCCATTAGATATACTACACTATACTATAATATACTATACTATAGTATATTACATGCGTTTCAGGGATCTCTTCAAACAGAGCTGGCAGTCTGGCCTGGGTTCTGGGACTGTCTAGGGACTTGCGGCTTGCTCTTTGTTGGTCATGTCATACATTACTATTACTTTCTATTTTTGATGTCATTGTTGCTGTTAATTGTTGATGTTGTTGTCGTTACAGCTACAGTAGCTGGAGCAGTGCTATGCCATGATCCCACACACGGATCTCGAAGCATCTCTGCAGCGGAACGGAGGGGGGCTTGTGCTCTTCGGGGTGCCCGAAATTCAACTGCTGCAGCGTCGACTACTCGCCAAGGTCCCGGCCAAGAATGCCATCGAATGGCATGTCAATGAACGGGAAGTCACTCTCCTGATCTCGGCTGTGACTGTAAGCAGGCCGAAGTTGCCGCGCACAAAGTATGCAACTAGCCCACCTGCTCTGCAGCATGAAGATCCATCGTGGCGCAGAGCTTCAATGGACGGTCTGCATCTGCGAAGAGACAACACCCCTCTTCGCCCAAATACCTCCACCAACGGCCTAGCCTCCGCCGAGACAAAATTTGTCATGAGCGGGGAGCCCCACCAGCTTTCCGGAAGAAAAGCTCATGGCCTCCGGCATGATCTGTATGCGTATGTATGTACGTACATACATACGTAGATATCATGTCATTACTGCACATTACATTGCATTGCAATACGTACATATACGTATGTACATACATACATCTTTAAGTATTCCAACCTTGCCATTCGTGAAAACTTGAGACAGTTTCTCCAGTCATGATGCATAACGTTGAAGGCGATGGACATGTTTCTGCGTGAATCTGGTGATTGCATTTGGTGCTCCATTAAATCTTAATGCCATAATGCCAAGAGTGCCAGAGCATGCATCAGGGTTACAAGCGCACCGGCTAGTCTTGCTTTCATTCACGGTGTCTCATATTTCCCCAAGACTCCGCTTTCAAGCAGCATCAACCCGTCTTCGAGCTGCTTTTCGGAAGGCAGCGAAGGTTTCTGCAGGCTCGTGTAAGTGCCGGGCGACACCCTGACTGACTTCCGCCTCTCCCATTTGCAGCCTGAGCTCTTTCCAAAAGAACGCCCCGACTTACCGGATTCCACGCATGTCAGACAGGCCTCCTGTACTTCTCGTGAAGCACGCAAGCTGCTGAGCCTGAGGCCATCCCGCTCAAAGCTGTCGCAAAGCTTGGCGTCCCGAGGCCGTTGCTGCAGCTGGAGGAGGGCACCCACAGGAAGCTCGAGCCTTCGGCTGGTCAGGGAAAAGGATTCTCTCCTGTCAACAGTGGGCTTCTTAAGCTCGGGGCCGGTGTCGAAGAGAAGCTGGAAGCTCTGTCGGCTTGCTCCCACCATCACCTGCCCGACTTACCCTGGCGCACTGCGGGCTTCCACACTGAGGTCGACGGTTGCGGTCCATGCCTCACCGTAGTAGACCGGAGATTCTGTCAGGCCAGGCTCCTGCCACAGCGGGGGTGGGGCACGGTTATGTCAGTGTCTCCTGGGTCTGTCAGCCGCCAGCCTCAGGGTCAGCAGCCGTCACCGTGCAGCCCTTGAGACGCAAGGACACCTGCCGATGCCAAGGCCATGACAACTCCTTCCCGTCTTCCCCTCACACTTACCTTTGGTTTAGTAGGGAATGGAAGTATGGTAGTAATAGTAGGTATAATTGTACCCCATTCCTCCATTCTCTACTAGGCAAAGTTAAGCACACGGACTCAAGCGTCTGGCATGGTTCTCGGCCGACCCCGCCAGAGCCACATGAAGAGCGGCACCGACCTTCAGCAGCTATGGGAGTATCGGGAACTCTTGGTATCGCTTGCCTTATGGGAGTTTCCGAAAATAGGGGACCCTAATGAAGTACCCCAAATAGTAGGATCCTTATTATAAGGATCCCCAAAATAAGGTACCCCCAATTTTCGGAGACTCTCCCAAACCCTAAACCCTAAATCCTATAGATCCCTCAGAGCAACCCCCAGAAGGAACCCTTATAGATCCCTTTAAAGGAGCCCCTAATTTTCGGAAACTCCCATATTCTCATGCAGCGGAGCCACGAGGAATCCGCGCATCTCTGCTTCGCGGGGCAACTGAGAACCCCGGCCGGCTGCGGGCGGGAGCTTCGCAGCAACGGATTTTTCAGGGTGTCTATAGGGTTTCTATAAGGGTACTATATGGGAGCTATGGGAGTTTCCGAAAATTGGGGACCCTAATATAGCACCCTAAATAGTGGGCCCCTGGTAACCCTAGTATAAGGACACCGAAATAAGGTACACGAACACAGAGCTGGCACAAAGCTGCAGAAGGCCTGCAAAAGGTGGGCCACAATGCCACGTCTTTTTCCGCGAGCATCTTTGTGGCAACTTTGGCCTACTCACTTGGTGAAACACCTAAGAGCCTACGAGTAAGTCGTGAAACATCAACTCCTCGTTCGTCCCCTGACCGGTTTTGGCACACCGCCAAAAACCTGCTCGTGCTGGATGCTAGGAGCTAGGCTAAGCCTCCACGGCTCGTTCTCACAAGAGCTACCGGTACGAGTAGCAAGGGCTTTGCTACCTGAAGACGAATTTCTCCGCGAGCCTTGTGAAACATGAGTGCGAGAAGTCGAGGCCATGACTGCTCAGGTCGTAGGTCTCGCCCACAAGTTGTCCCCTCCCTGTGCCAGTGGAATCAATGAAGCCTGGAGGCACAGTTGAGTTCAGGCAGTTCAGGCAGTAAGGGGAAGGCCTGCAAGCTCTTTGCCACAGGCTTGTCCTGCAAAAAGTTCGGCTCACCCACGCCAGAAGACGCAGCCAGGTGCAGCCCTCTCAGGCCTTGCGGGACTCTGACTGTGGCCTCGCGCGGGACTGCGGTGGTGGCCTCAAGTGTTCACATCGATGGCAGGAAGTTCGAATTACGAATGCCATCTTGGCAAGTTCAATTGTAATCTGGCTTTGCACAGAGTAGCAGCAGTAGTACTAGTAGCTGCAGTAGCTGCAGTAGTAGCAGTAGTAGCAGTAGCAGCAGTAGTAGCAGTAATAGCGGTAGGAGTAGGAGCAGGACTGGTGGTAGTAGTACTCGTCGTCGTCGCCGTGGCGGTGGTGGCGGCGGTGGTGGTGGTGGGGAGAGTGTGTAGCAGCAGCAGTAGCAGTAGCAGCAGCAGCAGTTGTAGCGGGAGGAGCAGCAGTGAATCTAAACGTAGGTGCAGGTGTTGTGGCTGGGTGCCGCACGTCTCTGACTCCTCCGAACCCGAATCTGGCTCTGCTTCCACAACTTCACCAGCATAACCGGCATAGACGTTGTGCGCAGGGGGACGTCTCGGGCTTCGTAGGGCGGCTTGTGAGTCTCGTCTCGGACTTTCCTGGGCCGATGCCAGTCCACAAGGCTTCAGCTCGTAAGACTCCGAGGCGCCAGCTGCGCCAAGGTGGCCTGCAAGCGCAGGAGGCGCAGAATGCACGACTCTAAAGGCACTTCGAATCACCTGCCTTGACTAGAGCGAGTAGACCTTTGCAGTTGCAATGGAAGGAAAAGGGAAACGGTCAGGGTCCCGCTCGCAGATACATAATAACAATAATCATCATCATCATAATCATAATAATAAAAGTAAAAACAATAATAATACCAACAAAGCTCGGGTTGGAGCTTGGCTTGACGCACACCAGGGCCCGTCTGCGGATCCTGGCGAGTCGAAGGCGACACTTCGAAGAGAGCTTGGGCTCAGACTTTGCTAGGGTTCAGGGCTTAGGTTTAGGGTTTAGGGTTTAGGTTTAGAGTTTAGGGTGCCCCGAACTCCTTCAGGGTTTCGGTGCTCACACTCGGACACTAGGGCTTAGGATTTAGGATTTAGGGTCTAGGATTTAGGGTTTACGCCCTCGCAACTCGGACAAGCCAGACGAGGATCTAGGGTTTAGGATTTAGGGTTCAGTGCTTCTGTTTGCTAAGTCCAGGCAGCAACCGTTGAAGGTCCAGGAGCCTCGAGTCGGGTTGATCCGGCTATGAGTTGGTGAGCATACCTTATTTTGAGGTCCTCATATTAAGGATCCTACTCTATAAGGTACTATATTATGGTCCCCTATTGCGCGCCCCGTCTTCAATCAGCACTTACTTGTTTAAGTACCAGTCAAGGGGTTCTGGAAAAGGAGAGGGTTCGTTTCTACCGGTCCACAGAGACACGGGCACCCCGAAAAAGCGAAGCAAAGCTTCCCCCGTGCAGGCAGAACCCTTTAACGCCACAACCAGAAACGCTTCCCTAAACAACCCTAAACCCGGAAGAAAAAATCCGAACCTCCGGAAACTCAAAGCTTCCCCAAACCCTGAAAAAACGCCCAGGGAAACTCATTGAAGCACTAGGCTTCCCCAAGTTTCCTGCCTTGGCCGGGGCGTCTGCGCCTGAAGCATTAGACTGGAAGATCCAGTTTGGGGCGTTTATACTTTTTGTATTTCATAAACGAACATCGTAGAGTATAGCATTTGTACATTATACTAACATAGTACAAAATCTTCATTTCGCCTTGCTTTTAGGGCTCAGGGTTTAGGAGTTAAGGTTGCTGGATTCATCTCTGCTCGGGGGGTTCATGTTTGGCAGGTTCCCATCTCCCCTGCGCCATGCAGCGCTGTGGAGCAGCGTTTGGGCTGCCATGGGTCCCAAGGCAGTCGCAATGCCTAGAAATCAGAGTACTTTCACTAATAACCCTAAACCCCAAACCCTAGACCCCTAAACCCTAAACACCCAAATCCTAAATACCTTGAACCTTTCATCACACCCTATGACAAATAACACGCTTCACCTCAGACGACGCCAAGGCCGCCCCCGTTGTGAGGGCTCCTCGCTCATTGCTCCATGGAGGCATGCTCAGCCTGTGCTACGGCAATCCTCTTTTGTGGGGTTTCCATGGCTTTCAGCAGCTGTGTAAACTGCTCTGGAAGCATCGACCGATCGGCGGCACGTGCTCGCAGTGTTGCTTTCACTGCCTGTGCAACATCGAGTGTTTGCTGTCTTGTTTTGCAGTGTTTTTGCAGCTTCTGCGAGCAGTCCTTCTTTCTCAGCTTGTGCCGCAAGCAAGGACCTTTAGAGTTCAGCGAATATAACCTCGTGCTGCGCCTCGCATTGCGCATGAGTGTAAAAATTGCGGCAGTTTCCACACACTGCTTCTCGTTCCCAGCGCTCTCTGCTCTTGCCGCGATGGCGGCCAGTAGTGTTGCATCTCTCTCAGTCTCATCACTCTGCACTGCCACCCGTATTCTCACGTTCGGAAGGCCTCCCCAGAGTTGTGACTTCAAACTCGGCCGTGCCGATTGCAGAAGGCTCGACTCCCACAACTTTCTCATTGCACCCACAAGATCGGAAGATTCAGGGTGCAGTAGTAGAAGGCCTAGGGTTTATGCAGGGCTTCAGGGTCGCATCGGGTGCAAAATCGCAGGGACACTACCCTAAACCCTGAACCATATACCCCAGGACCTAAACCTTAAACCCTGAACCTTGCAACTTGCAACAGGGCAGGGGCGCCTTGTCGACTCAGCTGCTCCTTAGATAAAGGCGTAGCATGCGCGAACAGCATGAGCACTCTCTACTCTGACGCTGCAGTGATGTCTTCCCTTCGTCTATCTGTATATGTACAGATATAACATATGTATATATACATACATACATACATAAAGGTACATACATATATGTACATATGTATATAGTATATATGTGATTAAAGATATATGTATGTATCATATGAATCATATGTTTACATAATGCAATTCCATTCTGAGCTTCCGGCACTCCCAGCGCTCGGCTCCCTGGACATGACGTGGTCCATGCCGTGGAGCTCCGCCTGAGCCTGAGAATCGCAGGACCCTGATACCTCACTCTACATAGTCGGATCCTCTTCTACAGAAACTGCTACATGCAATTCCATATTCGGATCCCTACAAATTCAACCTTACAGCCAATAACTGCTGTAGAGTCTTTCTAGAGAGATACGGAGCTGTCACAGGGCGCTCGAGCCTCGACGATTCGATGCCGCAGGTCCTGGATCTCTGCCTTCAGCTCCTGAGTTGAGGGTTTAAGGGTTTAGGGCTTTAAGGGTTTAGGGCTTTAAGGGTTTAGGGCTTTAAGGGTTCAGGGCTGTAAGGGTTTAGGCTTTAAAGGGTTTAGGGCTTTAAGGGTTTAGGGCTGTAAGGGTTTAGGGCTTTAAGGGTTTAGGGCGTTAAGGGTTTAGGGCTTTAAGGGTTTAGGGCGTTAAGGGTTTAGGGTTTTAAGGGTTTAGGCTTTAAAGGGTTTAGGGCTTTAAGGGTTTAGGGCTTTAAGGGTTTAGGGCTTTAAGGGTTTAGGGCTTTAAGGGTTTAGGGCTTTAAGGGTTTCGACGCTCACACTCGCACGCAGCAGGCAAGGCTCCACAGAGCTTTAATGGTTTAGGGCTTTAAGGGTTTAGGGTTTTAAGGGTTTAGGCTTTAAAGGATTTAGGGCTTTAAGGGTTTAGGGCTTTAAGGGTTTAGGGCTTTAAGGGTTTAGGGTTTTAAGGGTTTAGGGCTTTAAGGGTTTAGGGCTTTAAGGGTTTAGGGCTCTAAGGGTTTAGGGTTTAAAGGGTTTAGGGTTTTAAGGGTTTAGGGCTTTAAGGGTTTAGGGCTTTAAAGGGTTTAGGGCTTAAGGGTTTAGGGCTTTTGGGGTTTAAGGGTTTGCACATGCTGTATGACGAAATGTCTGATCTTGCCCTGAATGGACACTCCTCATGTCACCTTCTCGGCATCGTCGTCTCAGGTGGGTTGGCTGCCGTATGCATGGACAGAACGTGGCTGTACCACCATAAACTCCTCTAAAGTCAAAAGTTCCTGAGGAGTGGTGCGCTGCGTCTTGTGCAGTCGTCTTGTGCTTATGGGTAGTTCTCGAGATTAGGGTCCTTTTTGGGGGTACCCTAAATATTAGGTGCCGTACTATATTACAGGACCCAAATGAGGGACCATTTGGGCAACCATCCATATGTGTTTGAAGCCGTTGGATGACCCTCAGGCTGCCAAGCTGCAAAGATCTCTGCGAAGCATTGGTCGTGTTCGCCGAGCAACACAGAGTACTCCGCTCGAGCTGAACTTGCACTCTGTAGGCCTTGCCACCGCAGAAGATGCCGAAGAGTTCAAGTAATATATGTGCCTCAATAATTAGAATAGGGTCTTGGGGCCCGCTATACCATGCATATAATAAGGAACCCCCAAAAAATAACATTGGAAATTATTAAAGCCCCTATACTACTGCCCGGATGTGCACAAGGCCAGGCCTAAAGTGTTGGCAAGGAGAGCTTCTCTCCCGACAGAAGGAACGCTTTCCGCATCGGCTTCCGGATAGCTCCTGACGACCGCAGATGCGGGACACTGCAAAGCACTTCTTGTTGCGAGTTTGAGCTAATAATTTGGGAAACCCTGGGAATGCTTAAGACTGCAGCATTTCCTGGTGCAAAACCTGTTTGGGTATCTGTTCCCGGAGCCTTCAAAAAGTGGTGCGAAACCTGTTTGGGAAACTGCCCGCCGACTCCTGAAACGCTGCTCCCAAGGCTATGAAAAGTGGTGCGAAACCTGTTTGGGAAATTGCCCAAAAGTGGTGCGAAAGCTGTTTTGGAATCGTTTGGTTGACTCAGTTGGCCTTGATACTTGCCTTGATATCATTGAACTGATGTTTGAAACCTTACCTTCTTCGGGGGCGGGAGGGAAAGAGGGAGGGAGGGACGCAGAGAGGGCACCAAGGAGCAACGAATGGCCTTCCATGCATGCCGGGGACTTTTTGCGGGGACGAAAGCTGGTGCCCAACCCCGGAGCTATCCCCCAGCCGGCTTTCATCAATCCCTTCCCTGGATTGGTTAGCCTCAAGGGTCTCAGCCGAACCGTGGCAAGCGGCCGGTCCCCGACAGTCCCATGACCGTCAGTGCTGAGAATGCTTGTGGCCTGGATGCCGAACAGTTCCGAATCGGTTCCGAACAGTTCCGAACAGTTTTGAATGGTTTCCCGAACAGTTCTCGAACGATTCCTGAAGGATTGCTGCAGGGTGTGCTATATATAGGTGTGCCCAAGACAAGGCCCGCTGCTGGGAATGCTTGTGGCCTGGATGCCGAACTTCCGAACAGTTCCTGGTTTCCCGAGTTCTCGAACGATTCCCGAAGTGTGCAGTGTTGCTGGGAAATGCCGAACAGTTTCGGTTCCGAACAGTTTTGAATGGTTTCCCGAACAGTTCTCGAACGATTCCTGAAGGATTGCTGCAGGGTGTGCTATATATAGGTGTGCCCAAGACAAGGCCCGCTGCTGGGAATGCTTGTGGCCTGGATGCCGAACAGTTCCGAATCGGTTCCGAACAGTTCCGAACAGTTTTGAATGGTTTCCCGAACAGTTCTCGAACGATTCCTGAAGGATTGCTGCAGGGTGTGCTATATATAGGTGTGCCCAAGACAAGGCCCGCTGCTGGGAATGCTTGTGGCCTGGATGCCGAACAGTTCCGAATCGGTTCCGAACAGTTCCGAACAGTTTTGAATGGTTTCCCGAACAGTTCTCGAACGATTCCTGAAGGATTGCTGCAGGGTGTGCTATATATAGGTGTGCCCAAGACAAGGCCCGCTGCTGGGAATGCTTGTGGCCTGGATGCCGAACAGTTCCGAATCGGTTCCGAACAGTTCCGAACAGTTTTGAATGGTTTCCCGAACAGTTCTCGAACGATTCCTGAAGGATTGCTGCAGGGTGTGCTATATATAGGTGTGCCCAAGACAAGGCCCGCTGCTGGGAATGCTTGTGGCCTGGATGCCGAACAGTTCCGAATCGGTTCCGAACAGTTCCGAACAGTTTTGAATGGTTTCCCGAACAGTTCTCGAACGATTCCTGAAGGATTGCTGCAGGGTGTGCTATATATAGGTGTGCCCAAGACAAGGCCCGCTGCTGGGAATGCTTGTGGCCTGGATGCCGAACAGTTCCGAATCGGTTCCGAACAGTTCCGAACAGTTTTGAATGGTTTCCCGAACAGTTCCCGAACGATTCCTGAAGGATTGCTGCAGGGTGTGCTATATATAGGTGTGCCCAAGACAAGGCCCGCTGCTGGGAATGCTTGTGGCCTGCTGGGAGCCGAACCCGAATCGGTTCCGAACAGTTCCGAATCGGTTCCGAACAGTTCCGAACCAATTCCGTCCTGGGACGGCCAAGTTGTGGGGCGGGTTGGGAGGTGGGGGGCGAGGGGTTGAGGGGGCTTGGGGTCCGGTCTCCGGGGGCGGTTCGGAACTGGTTCGGAACTGCTCGGGAATGGTTCGGAACTGTTCGGAACCGATTCGGAACTGTTCGGCATCCAGGCCACAAGCATTCCCAGCAGCGGGCCTTGTCTTGGGCACACCTATATATAGCACACCCTGCAGCAATCCTTCAGGAATCGTTCGGGAACTGTTCGGGAAACCATTCAAAACTGTTCGGAACTGTTCGGAACCGATTCGGAACTGTTCGGCATCCAGGCCACAAGCATTCCCAGCAGCGGGCCTTGTCTTGGGCACACCTATATATAGCACACCCTGCAGCAATCCTTCAGGAATCGTTCGAGAACTGTTCGGGAAACCATTCAAAACTGTTCGGAACTGTTCGGAACCGATTCGGAACTGTTCGGCATCCAGGCCACAAGCATTCCCAGCACTAGTGGGCCGTGTCTTGGGCACACCTATATATAGCACACCCTGCAGCAATCCTTCAGGAATCGTTCGAGAACTGTTCGGGAAACCATTCAAAACTGTCCGGAACTGTTCGGAACCGATTCGGAACTGTTCGGCATCCAGGCCACAAGCATTCCCAGCAGCGGGCCTTGTCTTGGGCACACCTATATATAGCACACCCTGCAGCAATCCTTCAGGAATCGTTCGGGAACTGTTCGGGAAACCATTCAAAACTGTTCGGAACTGTTCGGAACCGATTCGGAACTGTTCGGCATCCAGGCCACAAGCATTCCCAGCAGCGGGCCTTGTCTTGGGCACACCTATATATAGCACACCCTGCAGCAGGAATCCTTCAGGAATCGTTCGGGAACTGTTCGGGAAACCATTCAAAACTGTTCGGAACTGTTCGGAACCGATTCGGAACTGTTCGGCATCCAGGCCACAAGCATTCCCAGCAGCGGGCCTTGTCTTGGGCACACCTATATATAGCACACCCTGCAGCAATCCTTCAGGAATCGTTCGAGAACTGTTCGGGAAACCATTCAAAACTGTTCGGAACTGTTCGGAACCGATTCGGAACTGTTCGGCATCCAGGCCACAAGCATTCCCAGCAGCGGGCCTTGTCTTGGGCACACCTATATATAGCACACCCTGCGGCAATCCTTCAGGAATCGTTCGGGAACTGTTCGGAACTGTTCGGAACCGATTCGGAACTGTTCGGCATCCAGGCCACAAGCATTCCCAGCACCAGTGGGCATTGTCTTGGGCACACCTATATTGCGTATACTGTACTACTGTATATAGCACACTTGCAGGAATTCTTCAAGAATCATTCGGGAACTGTTCGGGAAACCGTTTGAAACCGTTCGGAACTGTTCGCGCAGCACACTCGCAGAACTTCCAAACGGCATTGTTTAGGAAACGTGACGCTAAATTCAGCGCACCTCGACTACATGCTGTGTTTCAAGCACAAAACAAGCCCCTTGCCCTGATGTTAAACTACACTTCTCATTCATAAACGTGTTCTCAAAAAGCCTCGGAATGCTTCAGACTATATATTACGCACAATTCTACACTAACCTCTCTGACATAGATCTATTCCCGAAAAAGCTTCGGAATGCTTAAGACTATATTTGGGGACTATTTGACACAAACCCTTCCCGACATAGAACTAGTCCCAAATAAGCCTCGGAATGCTTAAGACTACAGCCCTCCAAAACCCCAAACTACTTTTGCACCAGGTTTTGGCTCCCCCGGACCCCACTTCGCTAAATCCTATCTTGAGCATTCCGAGGGCTTCCCAACTAATAATGGTGCGGACTCTTGCTGAAAGTCGTGCAGCACCCGCGATGCCTGTCATCATCTTGATCCGCCGCATCTTCAGCACTGAAAACTTCTGGAAAGTACTCTGCGGCCTGAAGACGGATGGAGTACATGCCCAGGCTACAGCAGCTCTCATGCAGCCGAGTGACTTGGCTGCGGTCGTCATCCTGGCAGCGAGGCTTCTATCCGACGTAGTCAGCTGAAGATTTCTTTGGAGCTAAAGCTGGTTAGCAGGACCTGTTCGGTGTTCGGTGATGCGTGACTGGCGTGCAGAAACCCGAACTGCAGCCAAGCCGTCCACTTCCTGCATCTGCCACCCAGGAACCCTTAAGAAGGTGAATTCCCGCGGGAAACCATTACAAAAGCAACATCGACTCCCAGCACAGTCCTCCGGCTGCTTGGTGGTCACTGTCAACTCCTGAGCAATTTCAGCAGCACAGAGCCCAGTCCTTTTGCAAATGCCAAGCTGTGGCCAGAGCTTCCAGGAATGCCTTAGGTAGCACGAAGCTACCATCTGACCACATGGCGATTTTGGCTTACCAGCGAGCGTCTTCCCCGTCGACTTCCTAGTAGTGTGATGACAAGGGGCTTCGATCGGCTGGTCAGCTTGCCACTCTTGCACGGCTTTGACGACGTCGTCGTCGTGGTGCTTTTTAACGGTCTCACCTACAGCTTGGAGTCGGACGACCACCGGATCTCTGATTCTCTGCAAGACATGGGAAAGTAACCGCTCGGCTTCGAGCGTGGCCCTTGATGGCTTTGCATGTTGTAGAGCCTTTGCTATCAACAGCCATGAGTCCGTCTCTGCGCGGTGGCACTGGGACTTCGGCAGGGGGCTGCCCTCCTCGATGCTCCGCATCATGAGCATGCTTGCCTTACAGTCGCAGCCCTGGCTTCAGGTCTTTCGGGCCTACTACGGTTGATGATATAAATCCTGCATTACCCATAATAAGGAATATACCATAATTTCCATAGTTTAGAGTCCTTAAGGTAATGCAGGATTTATATCATCAACCGTACAGCTCAGCTCCCGTCCATGTAAAGTTCCTGGAGAGCTACGGGAGGTTTGACAGACTGAGCCTACATGGTTGAAGCAACCTAGAAGCAACAGCTTCTAGCCTCCGTGGTCGCCGAGAGCTTTGGCTTCTTCAATACTTCTTCCCGGGCTTCTGAGAAAGAAATGCCTCACAGCTGCTGGAGGCTTCGAGTCAGCGAAGTCCACCCTTAAATCGGCTGCAACCCTAAACCCTAAACCCTGGTTAGTCGGGAATGGAGGAATGTGGTACAAGTATAACTACTATTACTACCATTCTTCCATTCCCTACTAGCCAAAGGTAAGTAAACCCTAAACCCTATCCACCTCGAGCGATTTCGGAGTCCGTTTCCTCGTCGGCTTCAGAGGCTGCCCCCGCCTTGACATCTCACGAAAGCTTGCTTGCTCTAGGATTCCCCATAAGGGATACCATAAGCGAATGACGACACTTGCTGTGTCTTTGAGGGCTGGTATACCTTACGGTTTGCAAAGGGCCGCAGAAAGGGCCGCAACTGCGAGAGTAACGAAAATAGGGCAGCTGTTCCACGTGTGTGCCACATGTGCATCAGCAATCCTGAACCTTTTAGGGTGTTGGGGTTTAGGGGTTTGGAGTCTAAGTTCGGGATCAACCATAAAGGCGACATCTCCGAACCGCTAAACCTCAAACCTTGAACCCTTTCCCCCCAGCAACCCTTCCTACTTCTGGCACGACTGCAAGGTCCGGGAAGCGGGCGCTCGACACAGTCTCGAAGAGCTTCCTTCACGGGCCCAAAAAAGCACTTACAGAATCAAAACACCGAGTATTGGGGTGAGAAATATCCCCTGTCTCTACTTATAACTTGTAACACACTTACTAACCCAGTAAGTCCACTAACCCCCTAAAATGGGACCCATGGAAAGGGACCTTCAACAGTTGAACAGGATCCCTGTTCATGTCACAGACAGTCAGGTGAAGGTGGGAAGACCCCGGCCTCAGCATCTGATACCTCGGAGCTGCAACTCCACAAGTCTAAATCTTCGGTGTCCGTCAGAATCAGCTCCACATGCACAGGGGCTCGGGCAAGGAGGACGCCTTCCTGTAGTTCAGAAACCAGGTTTTGGATCAGATTGCAGATGTTGCGGGGTTTAGGGTTTTAAGGGGCAGCATCGTTACGTCAAGGCTTTCCGGCTACAGCAACCGTAGCTCCTCATCTCCTTGTATCTGACTGCCCGGGACTGCTCCACCTGTCAGAGGCTTTCGGCTCCCCTGGCACTTCGCAGAAAGCAAGGAGGAGCCTCCAGCATCATCTCCCTGATGGCTGCCGAGAGGAAACCGATATACAGCAGTCCTGCGCAGACGAGGCCAAGGATTTTGCAGCCAAGAGAAGCAAGGAGATGCAAGCATCGCGCTCCTTTGGAGCCTTCTTCCTCGTCCATGACCGCTTGCTCAAAATCATTCTCGACGCCGACCTCCCGAGTTCTGAGTTCCCCATCGCCACTCCGCAGCAACTCGCCCGGGCCTCGCTCCAAGGCACCAGGCCCTGGGCAGCAGCCTCGAAGTAACGCCCCATGGCACCACTCAAGGCAGCCTGAAACACCAGGAAAAGATCAGAGGGGCCAGTGGGGCCCAGGCTGGCCCAGGCTAGAAGAAAAGGCCCTAAACCCTAAAAACCCTGAAACCCTGCCCCGCAGAAACCCTAAATCCTTGCAAGCTGGCAGCTCTCAAGGAGCTTCTGGAGCTTCTGGAGAGGCCCGACATGTCGAGCTCTTGCGTGTGGACGTCCTCGGTGCATCAGAGGAGCACGAGTCTGAGCTGCCATCTACGAGGTCGCGACTTGTTCAGGGTTTAGGGTTCAGGGGTTTGGGGACTTTCACGAATCGAACTCGTCTCACTGGTTCAACTGCACTGAGTTCCGGGCGTAGACAACCTGAACAGGCATCCGTGGTCCGTGGTCTTGAAAGTGCCGCTCATGGTCTTTACATGTCAAGATTGTGAAGGCTAGTTAGTCATCTCGGCGGTAAGATCGGCGGTTCCTAAGTTACTTAGACTACTCCGGTGGACCTGCTCACAGCAAAGATTCAATTATCAAGTAAACTTGTCTGAATCATGTGACCTGTGCCAGCCTAGACCGCAAACAGTGAAAGAGCACCCCACAACTTACATAATTACCCAAGAACCACGCGCAGCCACCTGAGGCGCGAAACTATGGCGGAAGCACGATTTAGTTTCGAGGTTCGCCAAACTCCGTGGCCCCTTGTCACTTTACTCCACCGGGATTGCCAGACCACAGCGAGAAATCCCGAGGATCCTGCCGGTGAGTGAGTACGACTCCTCCTCCTCCTCCTCCTCCTCCTCCTCCTCCTCCTCCTACGACCACGATGACGACGAGGCCGGCGACGACTGCTCCGACACTCGCAACTCCTCCTACTACTCCTACTCCCACTTCTATTGCTACCGCTACGACCGCTACGACATGTCTTAGCATAATATTTCGCAAGGTGTTGTGCTGCAGTGTTCAATGCCTTCATCTCGCACATGCTTGTATTCAGGCGGAACAGCTGATTGCTAGAGCTCGACCGTCAGCCTTGACAACTCATCCTGCAGCAATCCGGCAACACAGATAACCAAAGCCAGAAGCCTTGTCCGAATGCATGTCGAAGAATGCATGCAGCCATTGCAGAGGGCGAAAAAGATCTTCCACGTCTGGCGCGTACCTGAACGAGATGCGCACAGCGCATCAAGCTCAGTGGGACAGGTTTCTGAAACAAAGCCAAAGCTGCCGGATACTCTTGATCACCTTGGCAAGGAAAGTCTTGAAAGCCAGAGGACATCCCCGTGTGGGTGTAGACAAGCGACGGCATTGTTGGTCAGAGACCATAGCACCACAAGGAAGAAGTACAGGTTTGCCGGTATCTGCACAGCCTCATCTGCACACATGCTGCTCAGACTCATTACCGCGTGCGCAATGCTGCGAAGAACTATCGAACATGACATGCTCCAGCACAAGGCCTTGCTCCGTGGGCACACCACTTGTACTGACCAATCCCCGAGATTTGCAATTCACGTTGCTGTTGCTTTATGAGGGGACCAGCCTGTGACTGAATCATGTTCAGTCGACTTGAGAGGGTGTTGGCACAAGGCGCATGAGACTTCGACAAGCTCGCACAAAGCAGCTTGCAAGAGCTTTTCAGAAAGGCCCGTGGGTCAATGTGAGCCGTGATGACTTGTCATCATCTAGGTTTCAGCTTGGCATGGAAGTGTTTCGCAGAATAGGTTGTTTGACACACCCTCGGGGAACACTAGGTTTCGTGCACGTAGGGGTGCCTGATGTGGGGCGTCTTGCAGTGTTGGGCTGTAGGCTGTATGTAGGCTCTTCCCGCATTTCAACACCTTCAAGTCATATTCAGTGGTACTGCACATCTTTTGCTGACAACTCTGAAAAAGGCCCATCCCCTGATCAGGCCCTAATCGCCTGACCACCGTCGAAACCATGCTAGAAAACTCTACATGTACATCCAAGGCAACTGATATTGAACTGGCTCTGGTCCAATTCACAACCGCAATCGACTGAGATATTCGTGCACTCCCGTGTTCTGCCAGCCTGGCTTATTCCACATGGCCTTTGAGCCTTCCTTCGACAGAACTTGACCTTCCTTGGTATCGCCTTGATGGAGGGTCCGTACCGGATTAGAGGACAAAGAGATCTGCTCAAACCCTGATACAAGTAGCTGGCTTATTGCAATACATCTGGCGACGGGAAGCTCAAGCCGAATCTGCTACGGAGATAGGGCGTTCGTCGACATTGGTGTTTGTTCTCCAGCCGGTACGACACGACAACGCGTCCGCCGTTTCAGAACATGGAACCCCAAACGTGTGCGACTCGGCCGCTGACTTCGGTGAGCACCGAGACCTGGGCGAGAACTCCGCTGCTGCCCCTTAGTGACAGCATTGGAGCGAACTGCGCAACATTCTGGTGATGCTTTACTGCATTCCAGCGCGTGGAAGGCACCTGGAACCTGGAAGCTTGCAAAGACAGGGCGAGAAGTCTCCTACGGTCCTACCCGGCTGCGAACGAGACGCCAGGGTGCACCGATCATGATGTTCGCAACTGCCAACACCTGGCAGGCCATACCTGGGATTAGCGCAGCTTTTTGGTCACTTGTCCACCTGCCTTTCTCTTTCTGCCATCCGACTCCTCAATGTCTTATCTTGACTCTGGATCGTTGCCAGTATTGCATTCGGGCTCTGGAGGCCTGCTTAGAGATGCTTCTTGGTTTTGTGTGGGGTCTTGAGCACATACCTATAGGATTCTGTTGCCGGCTGAGTTGCTGGTCACTTCCAGCCTCAGCAAAGCCTGGGCCCACAGAAGCACGAGGTTCGAGTCCGAGAAGAGAATGGCTGAGGCCGGGACTGAATGGTCCCGCTCATCGTAAGGTCTTGTCCAACTCCTGGGTTCTTGTTAAGGGATTTACTTCAAGTTACCATAATAGGGATCTATAGTAAATGATATGGGAGCTTCCGAAAATTAGGGGTAGATTGTTATTGAGGTCCTTATAAAAAGGGATCCTACTATTTAAGATACTATAGTCGGGTCCCCCATTTTCGGAAACCCCCATATGGTTTCCTTATTATGGCAACCTAAAGTCACTATGGAACCTAATTATGGTACCTTAAACTGAGTTCCTTATCAAGAGCCCAGGCTCAAGGCCAAGCAGGCGATGCAGTACACGCCGAGAAGACCTGGTCCCGAGATGATCTCCCCTAGTAAGAGTGGTTTAAGGTTTAGGGCTTGGGGTTTAGGGTTTAGGATTTGGGGGTTTAGGGTTTGGGGCTTAGGGTTTAGGGATGATTTTTTTTTTTTCAGCACCTTTTTCCGCCTAGCAATCAAGGTCGGCAGAATCCGCACAAGGCAGAAGGCCTTAACCCGTCTACCAGCTCCCTCAGTTCCACACTTCGACCTATAGTTCATCTTCAGGTTTAGGGATGTTTAGGGCTTAGGGTTTATAGGGCTTAGGGCTTAGGGTTTGGGGGGGCTGCAGGGTTTAATAAGATCTCCCGGGGGCCTTGGAGGCGCAAGAAGCGACCCAAAGTCAAGATGGCTGACAGAATGGCGGCCGAGTCCTCGGAGCAGGCGTTAGTTTGTTTAAAAAAAACTATGCACTACGATTGGTTTTTAAAAAAACCTATGCATCAAAAGCAAGACAAGCAATGATTGGGTGGCTTGTCTTAGTTGCTGAGTCCCTAAGCCCCAAAAGTGTACACTGTCAACTTTCAGTTCTATGGTGGGTAGTATTATCCCCAAAAAGTGTAAAGTGTATCCGCGCAGCTACTGAGTTTTCATCTGGGACAGATCGCATCCGAGCGACAATCACCATCAGCGTGATGAGGCCAGTGTACAGATATGCTGGCCTGCCGATATCTTGGCTGGCGACGGCCAGAAGGATTCATGCCAACGCGTTGCTATGTATTGCTGGCGCAGCAAGGACATTGCGTTTGCACGTCTGCAGCAGTTGTTCCTCAAGCCTGCAAGAACAATCAGCCTATGCTGGCTGAAATTGACTCAACATCCTGAACTTTACGATGAGCAGCAGGTCTGAAGTACTTCGAAGCAGAATAGTGAACTCAGTGGCTGCACGGTCGAAGGCCCAAGCCTTGCACCGTGCAAAAAGTATCCCACTGCCCTCTCCGACAGCCAGTTCTCGGCGTACCTTCAGCGACGATGAAAAGCTGCACTTGGCTGCGTGCTTTTGACCGTCATTCACTAGCTTGCTGGCCGTTTTGCTGAACGGATTCAGCCTCAACCCTTCTCCCCTGCTTCGTCAAGCTCGGCTTCGCTTTGGATCTTCTCTGCTGGCAGCAGCGACTGCACACAAGCCGTGCTGTCCAGGGTTTTTGTGAAAGCCCCGTGCAGAAAAGCCACATGGCTCGCACGATAAAGAGCAAGCCGCAAGGAATCCTTAGCGTCGGGATCTGCACTGAAGATCTGGAAAACGATTGAGGCTGCTGCGCCAAACCATAGGCTGCTAATCCTCCACAAGCATGGGAATGCATGCTTGGGTTTCCAAGAGTGCTTCACCTCCACAAGCAGCTGTCCTACGACTGCGAGAATCAGCCACGGTTGATGCGAGGAATCGTCACATGTCAGACCGATGTCCGATAGCAGGACGTTCACCTTGGCTCAAGGCTTGGAGTCCAGGGTTTCCGTGGTTTTCCAGGCCCTAGGCCCTGAGCCTCACGGAAGTGGCATATCTAGGCCAGCGACCGGGCGCGGATAGTCGACAACCGTAACGGCAGCGACCTTTTCGCTGAATGGCCTGTCTACTTTGCTTGACTGCTACAACCCGGCCTGCGGGTCCCGGCACAGAACAGCGCCGAGCATGTTGTAGACAGACATGGGCAACAACCTCGGCCAAGTAGCACAATCCAGGGAGAGGCAAGGCCTCCCACACATCCGAAGGTTGCACATCGCTAACCCTCCGGAGCACTTGAAGAGGCATTGCAGCACCGACAGGTTGGGATGTCAGAGAAGAGTGGTAAAGGATGTGCAACGTGTCTGTGACATGATGCCGATGCGGCGTCAGGTGCCAAGACTTGATTGTTTCGAGACAAGAAGCAGGTGACACCAGATCATAGACGCCTCAGAAAGCTTTGCCAGAAGCCTGCCCAAAAAAGGTGTCAGCAGTGCGCACAGCAATACAAACGAAATGCAAGTGGTCGCTCACATACACACATGCATGTATGCGCCGGCATATTTGTAAGATATAGATACATACAAACATACATACACGCATTTCTACCTGCCTGCCCACCTACATGGCTACATACATACATGCATACATGCAATCATGCATAATTACATGCGTGCATTCTGCCTCCAACCGACCGTGGTCCTGCCTTCTCAGGGTTGGTGTGGCACGAGAAGATTGGTGGAACCTGGGGTTCTCAGAAGCACATCTCTGCGAAGAAGAGCATCAAGTCGGGGCACTCGATGCTGTGCGTGTGGTGAACGGACCTGCCTCGAGTTCGCAGGAAAACTTCCAAACCAGCTCGTGTCTTACCCACAAGCGTTGCCTTGAGTGCTATGGATGCGCTGGCCAGGCAAAGCACCTGGGCATGTGACAGCACTCCATAATTAATTGTAACATAGAGCAAATTCAGCAAACAAGTCGCCAAGCTCTTCCGACATGGACGGGTCCTGCGAGTCCTGCGCGACAGGTCATGAAAAACCTTCTCTTCGAGGGTTGGGATGCTTAGACGTGCGAGAGCACGGCAACATGTCTGCTGTGGACTCAGGCATGGCGGTCCTCCCGACTGCAGCTCAGCAATGGAGCTAGAATGAACCTCAGCGATCAGTAACAATGCGAACTGCCGCTCTGCCAGTTTTGTCGTGTGCTCGGGTCTGGACTCCCATGTGAACAACAACACCAACGAAGCCAAAAGCGTCAGGGGTAGGATGCAAAAGCCGATCAGGACCTTCACCTGCACTACTTACATGGCTGAAAGGAAATGACTAGAGACGGAGGCTTCTTCCCGTCCGGCCTGGTATGGCTTCCACATGGGGATGAAGCAGCTCACCGGAATTTCTTCGATTGGATCCCTCAGTCTCCCATGCCGTATTGCTGCGATTGCTAAGATTGTGACTCTTATTGTTTCTACTACTGTTATCAGTAATCCTACTACGATGACTATTATTATTACTACTACTGTCAATATCACTGTAACTATTTCTAAAGTAAAACGAGACTTTAACTACTGTAAACTATGAATTACTATTACTACTACGACTACTACTACTACTACTACTGCTACTACTACTACTACTACTGCTACTACTACTACTACTACTACTAGCCACCCCCCCTCCCAACTACACTTGTTCCATCCGGGCTGGGCAGCGGTAGTCTAGGCGCCTTAACTGCGACAGTTGCAGAAGATGCACGGGCTCAGGCTCCCTATCTGTGACAGCTGCAGAAGTTGCAGAGTCTCACTTTCCTTAACTGTCACAGCCGGTGAAGTTGCAGGGGCTCAGGCCCCAAATCTGCGACAGCAGCTGGAGTTGCAAGCTCGACGGGGAAGAAACTGCTAAATCGCAGGTGGTCGGATAGTACGAAAACGCTGTAAATACCGTGCACAACGCAGGTGCTGCCAAGAAGGGTTTAACATTTCTAAAACCTGAAGCGCAAGATCTTCTAAACATCAAAAACAAAGATGCCAGCTGTACGTGGGAGGGGCTCGCCAACACCCCTACCGCCCAACCTCGGCGTAGGAGGGTCTATTTTTGAAGCGGTGTGTGTGGTGCGTGTGCGCGCTTGAGTGTGGAAATATTGTCATCCCCGAAGAAGCTTTCCCCCATCCAATTTCGAGTTTGTTTGCAAACAGTTCGAAACAGCAACGTTTAATACGCATAGTCGAGAAGTAGGGGCTCAGAATATGTAACAAAATCTGACATCACGAAAGTACCGTAAATACCAAATTAAACGGCGCTTGTGGTGATACTGTTGGGTGTGTTCGCGTAATCATCATCCCCCCCCCACCCACCGGATGTTGTCTTAACATGGTTAAGAGGAAGTGTAGTTGGTAGGGGGGGTGCCTACTACTACTACTACTACTACTACTACTACTACTTCTACTACTACTACTACTACTACTACTACTACTACTACTACTACTAGCACTAGCACTAGTATGGTAGAAGAGTCTCTGCATGCGCTTCCCTTCCTTGCAGACCAAGGCGCAAGACCAATGCGGCAACCGTTCGGAAATAGGCCTCGCCACAGCAGAAGTGACGTGCCCGTGAGCGCAAATGCTCTACCCAGAGAGCCCAATACCGCTTAATTAAGGAATATACCTTAAGTTATTGATTAGGGGCTTCATATTATGATTTAAGCAATATTCTTTAATTAAGGGATATTGGGCTCTCTAGGTAGGATCTTGAACAGAAGCTCCCTGCCTGTGTGTTGGGTAAGAAGTCGGCCATATACTCGGGCGTCATGATCTACAGTGAACGCACAGTGCGGTCAGCTCAATAGCTATGATGAGTTACACGAAAGGGAATCGCAAACAACGATCTTGATCAGCCTTGGCGGTGATCGCTGTGAACTGAAAGTAGTTCACCAGTGATCTGCAAAGCAACGCATGAGTCTATATAAAACCGCACACATGTACAAACACATTAAACGACAGACACAACAGGGAGAGAGTCAGAGAGCGTGCTCGCAAACCCTGCTTGCAAGTGCTGAAAACGAAAAACACTGCGTGTTTGCTCATGTCGGCATGTCGGGCTCGAAAAGTTTGCGGGTCGAGATTCCGAGCCACGGTTCGAGTCGACTTGACTTGCCCACGTAACTACCTACGAAACACAACTGCCTAAGACTGAGTCCAAAACAGCGGCGAAAAAAGCAGTGGGGCCGGGAATTGAAAGAGAGCCAAATTCAAATGAAACTTTCACACGAACTTCAAGAAGCCCTTTGTTCGGCGAAATCGATCAAAGAAAAGCAGACAAATGACAGAAGATACCAAACGGACAGGTGGGAGCAAATCGCAACTGCAAACAAAGAAACAAGCGAAGGAAGCAAGCTAACAAAAACATGACGGGGACGACAACGAGAACGGCATCGACAACAACGAAATCAGCAACACAAGCAGCAGCAACGACGATGCAAAAGGCACTATCATGCCTGTCGCACATACGCTCCACGAGCCGGAGTTTGTTCAAATGACTTTGTGCTTGGGCCCCAGTTTGACTTACTCCGGCGCGTGGAGTACCGTAAATGCTGTTGGCAATGAGAATACTCCAGTACTGAGGAGGTTGTCATGGAGTTGATTTAACTCGCGCTCGCACACGGTTTTGACCCGAAAACCGCAGCTCTTACTGCAGGTAACATCGTGTCTTGCTTCGCTGCAGAACTCCGCCGGGGGCGACAACATCGGTATGTGAACTACAGATGCTCTCTGCAGTTTACAACACGTGCAAGACTATCAAAAGGCGATAAGTTTACACTCTGAACTGAGCAGACGAAGTATGCCGAAAAGCTGCCAAACAAGAACATGTAGAGCAACACACCCAAAACATAATTTGAAAAAGAAGCAGCGCATCCATGTTCATACTTTGGATCCAGAACATCATCACAACAACCATCGTGGCAATCATTGTCAGCAACATCTGTCTGTAACTGTAGCATGGACGAAAATTGCCCACCCTCCACAGCGACGTCATCCACTACGGGATGCTCAGTTGGGAGTTTCCGAAAAGAGAGGACCCTCATGCAGTAAGCTAAATAGTAGGATCCTTATTATAAGGACCCCAAAAAAAGGTACCCTTAATTCTCGGAAACTCCCAGTTGAATCCTAAATCCTAACCCCTACACCCTAAACCCAAACCCCTAAACCCTAAACCCCTGAAACCCTAAACCCTAAGCCATCATCGTTGGTCCACCCCGACAGTGCGACCACTCCGAGCCGCACTGGAGGTCAGGAGCGAGCATCAACAACAGCAGCAACAACAATCACCATCATGGGCCTTAAGAATTAGAATAGCGGTTCCTTTAAATTACAGGGTATCATAAGGGTTCCTTTAAGGGATACTATAAGGGCTTAGTATAGGGACCTTAATGATTCGACTAGGGTTTTGGCGCCCATTACCCCCAAAAGGCCCCTAAATCAACGTCCTATATTACCAGTGTCACCACAATCAGCCACCACAGCCAGCACACACACACACACACACACACGCACACACACACACACACACACACACACTCTGACACTGACTGACTGTTCTGCCTCAGGGTGGACGCAGACGTTGACGAAAGTGATTTGCCTCTCACAAGCTGCTTGACGACTTGATTTGGCTTGGGACACGTGGGCCCTGCCAGCCCAGCACCATTGCGAAACAGCCAAGATACATGCGTTCACATGTGATGCCAGCAGCCATGCAAAGGCCACCAGATACGCACCTAGCTCAGGGCACAGTCACATGTCAAAGTCAACTGCCGAAGCACAGGGTGACTCCCAAATTGGCATATGATAACTTCTCGAAGAGGCACACATTCCAATGATGAGTCTGTGCCACGTGTCTGTCCACTCATCTAGACCTGAGTTCTTCGACAGGTAAGTAGATTAAGAACTTCAGTTGAACTCGACCTTTCCATTAGCGGAAAGATTTGTGGATTGCTTCCCCCCACCCCCACATTCCAGCAAATGAACTTCTTGACCTTCCGAACAGGAACCACGGGGGGGACTCTCGGAGGTAGCATTGGAACTTCTCTCCCCAGCGTGGCAGGTCGTCTCCGATTCTTTCTGTTGTTATTTGCTAGGGGTGGACTTCCCGAAGTCTCAGTCCTCTCAACATCATCCTGCACTGGAAGTCAGTCTGTTGGTGTTGTTGCTACAGGTAGGTATCATCACCACTGGACACTTTCAAGCATTCGCAACTTGCTTGCTCAGAGTGGTATTGCTCCAAACTGGCTTCCCCTGGAGTCGGCTCCTGAGGGCCGAGGCGCAAAGCACGAAGTGCTGTGCGAGCAGCCGGAGTGGCGAAGCTCACGAGTCATGCCCACAATGCACTGCAGTGCAGTAAACTCGGGCCCAGGCAGGGCCGGCAAGGATCCGGCTCGGTGCTGTCAGGATCTAAAACCAAACCTGCTCCGCCCGCACGGGTCGAGAGCAAGGGAACGATCATGTTAGCATAAGAGGGAGCGATGACTGCCTGGCTGGCATTGCAAGCAAAGGGCACCCGAACCTTGGACCGCGGGAAGTCGTCTGTTGAAGGCAACCTCCTCCAGTCGAGACAAGCCGAGAGTCTGTTGCCGGCGCAGAGGTTGCCACCTGCTCAGCCACTTCTGCCATTTCCACACCCGTACCCATTACAAAAGAAGCGTGCTGACCTTTTACCCGGGCTGGGCCTAGACAGCGGCCCTTCACAGTGCAAGAGAAGAGAAGGCCATGAAAGTAGTAGTAGTCCGGTGCCTTACTTGCAAACACAGGCAACCCTACGCCCCTCCAAAAAAGGGGACTCAGAGCAGCTGTATGCAGCATCCAAGAAATCCTTTTGTTACGGTCCTGGGCCAGGCTCGCCGATCCAAGCGAAGAGAGGAAGTCTGTGGACATCCGCTTGGCGGACTACTTGAGAAACCCAAGCTGGAACAAGAGGAAACTGACTACCACTAGCCCAAAAAGCAACATCAGGCCAAAGGTGATGTAGCCAAAATGTTGGAACACACCACCTCTGGTGGTCTCGAATCCTCTGGCAGTTGCATGCATGTGCTGGATCCTTGGCGGTCCATGAAGGTGCAACATGCAAGCATTCATGGATTCATGAAGGCATGAAGGAACACATTGTCACGCTTCGAGAGCTCTCCGACTTACAGCGCAGCCCAGAAACTCTGAGAGGAAGATGGAACCCACACGCGCAGCAGGACTGCAGAGCCTGCCCGCGGAAGCCTTGGAGGCACCACTAGCTTCCCTCACGCGAGGCGAGGCGAAGCTACAAGTAGTCTGACTGTGGCCGCGACGAAGTTGGAGATCAGCCCCATCACATTGCCTGGGCATGCAATGGTTTGCCGCAGAGCGTCTGGAGTCTGGCAGCTCATTGACTACTGGTTCCTCTGCTGCCCTACCTGCGAAGGGAGAAGATTGCTCCAGCAGGGATGTGCCATTCGAGGCATTGCTCACCTGAAACAGACGATTTTTAGGCAAAAGATGTGGCCTGTTGCGCTGTCAGCACCGAGGAACTCCGTTCTGTGCACTGTGGGTGTCGATCTCCTCCACAAGGCCCCAAATCGCACCGGCCTGATCCGTTGACAGCCGATTCAGTAGAACCTACACCCTTTTCTCTGGTGCAGTTCTCGCCTTGTCCGCCTGAGCCTGTAACTCCTGGCTGATTTTGAACTTGATTTCGGCTTCCCTCAGCAAGCTGCTCAGGGACCGGAGTTTGAAGCTGGGGTTCAGGGTGCAAGGCATAGGCTTGGGGTTGAGGGCATAAGGCTGTGCTTCTTTTGAGGGCCTCTTCTGGAGCCCTTGCGGGCAACGCTTAGCCCCCGAAAGCTCTAATTTGAGGGCCTGAATGGTTAGAACAGGGTTTTTGGGAGTTCCTTCTTATACTTATAGTAAAATATCTCCCCAGACTTATGCACACAATTATTAAGGCCGCTGCAGTACACTCAATTCGTCGGTGACATGTCGTGAACCACGACTTGGCTGTTGCGACAGCGACTATTGCACTTGCTTGACATCATGATACCATTCCATAGTGTGGTGTAATCTGGCTCCCACGAGTGTTCTCATCACCGCATGAGCCACGAAGATCCTTTGCTTCATGAAGAGGTCCAATGCATCACTCTCGCGGCTTGCTGCCCCGGGTGGAAGACCCCCATATTTTGCTCCGAATGTGCGAGCTCAGCAAAACCCGAAACAAGGAGATTGAAGCCTACAGCATGCAGTTGCTCCGGCTCCAAACGAGGGAAAAGATTCAAGCCGATTCGGCTTGTTTCCCTGCGTAGTTGCCTTGATTCCCTGCAAATTCGCGGCATGCAATCCTTGCCGTTTCTGGCAAAGCAGCTCTCATCCGAGAGATGAACCCGAGTAACAACCTTCGAAACCCGAGCCCTATAGCCTCAGCAGCAAACACCCAAGTCCCAGCACTCCTATTCTAAATTCCGTTGCATGCCCTTAGCACTACAGGGCTCAATAGTCCGAATCAGGTTGTGGGGTTCGCACGTTTAACGCCCGGACCAACAGTGGGCTTTTGGCAGCACCGAACTCCCAGGCATTTTATCAAGATGGAACGCTCATGACACCGGGAGTCTGTCCATGGCTGCCCATTGGGACGCAGCGCTGGCTCAACCACAGCGGTTGTTCAACGACAGGGTTTGATTGGTCCCGCTGTGCAGTTTGTACCGTAGCGTAGAGTAGAGCCTGGGTTTTGACGTGCCGCCAAGGGTCAGACTCGGAGACATATCCATGCACCCATCAGTTCTTTGTACACATCTCGTGCGAGCATCAGTCCAACTCAACTTCGCGCGACTCTTTCGTAAAGTGGGTCGTCCAGCGGTGGAATGATTCCGGGAACTAGGCTGTGCACATTTTTTACACCAAGGTCTACACAGCAGTTAACGCGAGCATGAAAGGAAAACGGCATTGAGGACCACCTAGAGCCGGGAGTTTGTTAGTTTCCCTGCGTAGTTGCCTTGATTTCCTGCGAATTCGCCGCATGCAATCCTTGCCGTGATGGCAAAGCAGCTCTCATCCGAGAGATGAACCCGAGTAACAACCTTCGAAACCCGAGCCCTACAGCCTCAGCAGCAAACACCCAAGTCCTAGCACTCCAATTCACGCTCTTAGCACTACAGGGCTCAGTAGTCCAAATCAGGTTGTGGGGTTCACACGTTTACAGCCCGGACAAACAGTGCGCCTTTGGCAGCACCGAGGTCTCAGGCAGTTCATTAAGAGAGCACCCCTAGCACCGGGAGTCTCTGGGCCTCTGCGACGGGAGAGGGTCCAACGCAGGCAGTTCAAATTCAGTGCAAAAGGACGCAGGGTTTGCCTATCCCTTAAGTCGATGATGCAATCTAGCCAGCTCCTCCTGAACAAGACAAATGTCCATCTTGCTGAGGTCTCCGCGGAATCGCATCAGGCCAGTGATCAGCTCCGACATGGACAGAGAGCCATCCTCTTCGATATTGAAGGTGTCGAAGACCTCCGGCCATGGTTCGACCTGAACGTCCAGGTCGCAGAGCAGCTGGCGCACCTCCGGAGCTCGAAGCAAGCGAAGAAATTCCGGCTGGGTCATGAATATCTCTTCCTCGTGGGCATGAGATCCCTGCGAGTCAATCGAGTGTCCCGTGAGGGTGCGGAAGAAACTCGTGTAGAGCTGCTTTGGCTCTTGCCTCTGTTCTTTGACGTGACGCACGGAAACTGCAACCAGTGCCCTCATCTTCTCGACCACGAAGCTGGACTCGTGCAATCTCGCGAACTTGACCTGCGCCTCGCTCTCTTTCAAGCCCTTCAAAGTGGCCTCAACAAAGATGGCCGTAATCACGTTGAAGAGGCCGAAGAAGACGACAACCATGCCCGAGCAATACACAAAATCGAAGGGAGTCCCAAATCCCTTGCTGAAGATGGCTACGAGGTTCTCACCGTCCGCAGTCGTACAGTCTCCAAGTATGCAGCGGAAGACGGTAAACTGGCAACCCATAACGCTACCACAGTAGCTATCTGCGAAATCCAAGACCGCACGAAGATCCTCGGACTCGAGCTGCTGCATGGGCAACGCCTGATCTCCAGACTCCGGTGTTGAAAAGGTTTCCAGTGTCGAGCGCATTGCAAGCGCCAGGAAGTAAACCACTGCAAAAAGTGCCAGCGTGACCCAAAACAGCGGCCGTAGGCTGATGAGAAAACCTGCGTTTCACAACTGTTCTTTCAGGGACAGCGCAAGAAACCATGGAACAGGACCGGAGACCAGGGTTCTAGACTTGGTCCTAGCACACGTTACGATATATTACGATATTCCACGTCTAAAAGGCTGACGACATGGGGTTCAAGCCACATCGGCCTGAGATTATCGTCGCCAACTCTTCCATCAGAGGCATCCGCAGCAGCTTCGCCAAGCGAGCCATCCTGGAGTTGCAAAAAGACAGCCGCGAAGACCAAGCCATGAAGCGGAATTAAAACTCATGTGGGTGGTTGTCAACATTATGGTCCCTTTTTGGGTCCCTGTTATAATACGGCGCCTAATATGTAGGGTACCCAAAAAGGGACCCCGATTTTGACAACTACCCATGTGATTCCAACAGGCCTGGCAATGCGGAAACAACGTAGGACCATTGCAGCGCGCGAATGCGATGCTCCGTGAAAACCTGGCGTCATGCAGATTTCAGGTGTCAGGTCCCAGCTGGCGGAAGGTCTTCCAAGTGTGTGGAGACTTGAGCTCGATTTGGCGAAGATGCTTAGGTCTGCAGTGGTCCTGCTTAGAAAGTGTAGGACAAACACTTTGTCTTCCGCTTGGTGCAGGCTTCGCTTGCGGGGCTGTCCTAGATCCGAATACGTCGCCCTGAACCACCTGCAAGCGAAGCTGAAAGTGCCAGCTTCTCTCTACATGCGACAACCCAAGCTGACGGCCTATTTTGGACCACTTCATGACATCTTTAAATGACCTGAGCGTTCAACTGTTCTAGCTGTGGTACTGCAGGTCTGCAACCTGTGCCCGGAAGTGTACCGCAATGCATCATTCTCGCGTGACTGATCCTGCAGCGTGAAGATGCATCCGGCCTTCTCCCAGTACCGAACTGAAGAATGCTTCTAGTATGGCCATCGAAGATAAGAACACGTCGAAAAGGTTCCAGTGGCACGCAGGTCCGCAGAAGTACACGCACGGGCCAAGGACGCATGTCTTCACAACAATCTCCAGCACGAAGATGCAGGCACAGACAACCTCCATGGCCACCCATCCTGCTCCATCGCCCGTGTCCGTGTCCATGGCAATTCCAACACTCGCGACACTGGCGATTATTGCAGCAGTTGACAGTATCGTCACTACTCTTGTACAAATTGCTTCGTTCTTCATGCACTGGCGCCAGCGGTGGCTGACAACACCCGTGGCCTGGGCCTGTAGCATGAAAGGAGTCGTACGCGCTGCTGGCATATCTTCTCCCAAGAATGCACTCTGCAGAATGAAAAGCTTCAGCATCATGTCCTCCTTTTCAGCATGTGTGTGCAACTCCTCAATCAATATGCATGACACCAAATGCCTCCAAGATATGACAGCGAGGTTGCTACCCCTTTTCCAGGAAGAAGCCATGGTGCTTCGCTTGGATTTGTTGCTCTTCTGGTAAATCTTCGTGAGTTCCAAGAGGGCATCCTCCATGTCTGCCACACTCAGCGTGTCCATGACGTGACAACGTCGAGTGTGCTGCTTCATGCCAGACCTGGCTGCTTTCAGCAAATCCTGGGGTGTTATCATCATCGTTGTG